GGGTTTAGGGGTTTATAGAGTTTAGAGGTTTCGGGTTTAGGGGTTTAGGGGTTAGGGTTTAGGGGTTTAGGGGTTTAGGGGTTTAGGGTTTAGGGGTTCTGTGACTAGGGGTCCCCTTAGGGGTCCGTTTTATGAGAGCGCCGTACTATATGGGGGGGGGCCTCAAAAGGGACACGAATGTAGGGAACTACCAGGACTAGCAGGTATTGATGTCGACAACGCTGGTAACAGGCAATGACCGCAGTGGCATAAATAAGATCAAACCCTAAACCCTAGACCCTAACCCTAAACCCTAAATTAGACCCAATTAGCAACAAGGGGCCAGGCTCCGAGCTTTGTCTAGAGGCCAACGGTCGACAGCTAGGTGAAAGTCCTTCTATGGAGTTTTACCACGCATGAGAACTCGAACTGCATGATTAGGAATCGAACGTTCGGGTCTAGACCGCACTGTAGGAGTTTGGCTTTAGAGTTTGGGGTTTCAACGTTCAAGTGTCGCTTAGAGTTTGGGTTTCTTGCTGTTTGGGCATTCCTTGAGCTTTTACGTGTCCTTGGCGTTGTTGCTGTGCCCGTGGCGGGCAGGTGACATCAAGCTCATCGACGACACAAACAGGCGGTGAGCTGCAACCCCCGCACACCCAACCCTCAACCCCCCTAAGCCCTAAACCGTAAAACCACATGAACCCTCAGCCCCAAGCCTTTGACCCACATGGTATTCAAGCTATTAGTTTCGCCGTTCATACTATGTCCCTGAAATCCAGCAGCGCAGCTCCACCGGGGTTTTAGGGGATCGGGTTTAGGTAAACGCTATTGTTAACCCTAGACCCCAAACCCTAAACCGTAATATTGACATGAAGAAGTCTCAGAGTAGGAGACGACAGGATTCGAGAGATCATTGGGTGCAGGAGTTCTCGCCGTGCGCTGTGATTGAAGTTTAGAGCTTGTTGTGAATGCTATAGGGGCCTTATTGGTACGACTGAGGTTTGAGTGTAGAGATTGTGGCATGGTTTTATAGGGGCCATACATGGATGTGATTACTTATCATTCATCTCTTCATGTGTCGCCTTTTCCGGCCTGCAAACTTGTGCAAGAGCAGGGATTGATGACATGTGCGGGCAGGCTGTGTCCCACACTTGAGCTGCAGCCCCCACACACTGGGAGCGGTTTAAGGTTTCGTTCAGGGGTTGAGGTATCAAGTCGTGTGACTTGCGTCGAGTTTTATCTTTAAGGTCTAGGGTTTAGGCATAGGAGTTTTAGGATACAGTTTAAGGTCTAGGGTTTAGGCATAGGAGGTTTAGGATACAGTTTAAGGTTTAGGGTTTAGGCATAGGAGTTTTAGGATACAGTTTAGGGTCTAGGGTGCCCTAAAGGCATAGATTGAGAAATCCCAGAAAATGCCGGGAACCTGAAGCCTTCACGGTATAGTTTCGCAGGCTGAACCACATCCGTTCCCTGACCTCATGCATCCGAAAGTCCATTCGAGGTTGAGGTTTTTGGGTTGAGGGTTTAGGGGTTGAGGGTTGAGGGTTTAGGGTTTAGGAGTTTAGGGTTTAGGGTTTAGGGGTTGACATGGAAGTCTCGAGTAGGCTAATGTAAGGGTCGGAGTGACTACACGTAGCAATGATAGCCCCTTATAGGCCCCATACGTGCATAGTACAGTATACTCCAGAACCCTTAAAACTAGGTGCCTTTACGTACCCTTTCTTCCATGTGGTCGTCCGAAGCGCAGCATCACGTCGTTTCCTTGTTCTCACCAGCATCATTATCACCACCACTACCACCACCACTA